ACAGGGGGCAGCAGCCCATAGATTTGGGGGGGCAGCAGCCCATAGATTTGGGGAGGGGGGCAGCAGCCCATAGATTTGGGGAGGGGGGCAGCAGCCTATAGATTTGGGGGCAGCAGCCCATAGATTTGGGGGACGGGCAGCAGCCTTTAGATTTGGAGGGGCGCAGCAGCTCATAGATTTGGGGAGGGGGGCAGCAGCCATAGATTTGGGGGCAGCAGCTATAGATTTGGGGAGGGGGGCAGCAGCCTATAGATTTGGGGGGGCAGCAGCCTATAGATATATAGAAATGAACAGGAAGGGTCAGCAAGGAGCTGGAAGGTAAAGCAGCACAAAGGTAAAGTAGAAGGAGCAAAAAGGGTCAGAAATGAGCTGGAAGGGGCAGAAGGAGCACAAACATAAAGTAGGAGAATGAGCAGGAAGGGCCTGCAAGGAGCAGGAAGGAGCACAAAGGGTCAGCAAGGAGCACAAAGGTAAAGGAGCAGAAAGAATCAGAAGGAGCACAAAGGTAAAGTGCCTGGCAGGGAAACGCTGGACCTTCTCATCTCCAAAGGTAAAAAAATATTGGTGTTAATGTGTTCACTTTTATTTACTGAGTGTCAGGAAGCACAGAGTGCCGTTGGGTAGGGGTGTTGCTGATTGGCTAGAGCGGTCAGCTGGCACTCTAAGCCAATCAGTAGCTCCCCATTCATAAAAAAGTAAAAATATTTTATGAACCGGGAACTAGCGATTGGCTTAGAGCGTCAACTGACCACTCTAACCAATCAGCGGCACCCATGCCTGACGTCAATCTGCACTTCCTGACACTCTGTTTCAGAAGCCAAATACCACTGAGCGACCTGGAGCTGGAGGAAGCCTTTGGGTTAAACCATTTGAGAGCGATTTAACCCCTTAAAGGAAAGCGAGCACCCAGGGGCTTCCTGGCATCATAGCATTTTCATTTAGGTGAAGTTGTTATGGTGACCAGAAATGTCCTTTAATTTGCTTAAAGGAACACTATAGTGTCAGGAATACAAACATATATTCCTGACACCATAGTTGTGAAAACGCTATTCACCCTGGCTTTATGTGATAATGGCTATGCCCTTTCCCTTTCATGACACTGTCAAAAAGGTACCAAGCATGGATGTCATTACAATTATGCCCCCCCCTGGAAAAATTCCTGCGGACGCCCATGTCCAGGTGTATTGATTTGCTCTAATATAAGATATCTTTTTAGGCGAATTAAACTCTGCTTATATAACATGGTAGATTCTCTTATTGGATGGTTCCAGGAAATGACTAATGAACTGGTTTAAATGTTATTTTATTTAAAATTACATAAGAATAGATCTTAATTACCTAGGAGATCTAGCCAGCATTGAAAGGGTTATTCAGTTGATCTAACTGTTAGCCAGGGTTTTATGGCCCTTCGCTGTGAAAAGCTTCACTTTCAGTCTGTAAGGATACCCTCATAAATCGTGTAAGTCTTGACAGAAAATTGAAACGTGTATACCCATTCCATTGTATTGCATATCATTTTATACTGGATATTCATTGATTATTGTCACGCATGTTACATAATATTATTTGTTAATTAATTGTTATTATAAAATAAAATCTATTTTTATAACAAAATTGTGATTTTATTTATATGAAATACTTTTCACTTAACACGATAACGACCTTTGGGATCTGAGAATTGAATTAGTGGGCAATTCTCACTGTTTACTATTATTATCCCATAAATATCCCCACAGTATGGGGGCAGTGTTTGTGTATGGGGGCAGTGTTTGTGTATGGGGCAATGTGTGTATGGGGGGCAGTGTATGTGTATGGAGCAATGTGTGTATGGGGGCAGTGTGTATGGGGGGGCAATGTGTGTATGAGGGACAGTATATGTGTGTGTGGGCAATGTGTGTATGGGGGCAGTGTGTGTGTGGGGGCAGTGTGTGTATGGGGGCAGTGTATGTGTATGTGGGGCAGTGTATGTGTATGTGGTGCACTGTGTATGGGGCAGTGTATATGTGTGGGGGGACAATGTGTGTATGGGGGACAGTGTATGTGTGTGGGGGCAGTGTGTGTATGGGTGGAAGTGTGTTATGGGGAAGTGTGTGTATGGGGGCAGTGTGCGAATGGGGGCAGTGTATCTGTATGGGGGGCAGTGTATGTGGGGCAGTGTTTGTGTATGGGGCAGTGTGTGTGTGTGTGTGTGTGTAGGGTGAGTGTGATAAGAAGGGTAGGTTGGCTTTTTAAACGCTGGCATGCTAACAACGAAGTTGGCGTTGCACCATCACACAGGAGGTTTGTCCTGCTTGGGGAAGTGCCCCTTAGCAGGGCAAATCAGTGAACAGTAGAGGAAGAGAGCAGACATACCTGAGGTGGGTGTTACAGATGTGTAACATCCAGTGGAGGATCCAGAGCCTGATCTCGGGAGGGGCACTTGTAAATTATTTAACTAAATAATCCAGACACAATAACCACTATAGCTCAGTGTAGTGGTTATGGTGCCAACAGTGCCGGAACCCCCTCCCAGAGTAAGTATTCAAACCGTTTAAGAACTGTTTGACAATTTACCTGAGGTCTGCTGGGAAATGGGGCTGTAGTAGGGCTTAGTAGCAGTGTTGTATGTGAGTGGTGCAATGTGTAAGGGGAGCAGTGTGTGTGTGTGTGTGTGTGTGTGTGTGAGTGAAGGTTGCAGTGTGTGAGTGAGGGCGGCAGTGCGTGTCAGGGGTGCAGTGTGTGTGTGTGTGTGTGACAGTTGCAGTGTGTGTGTGTGTGTAAGGATTGCAGTGTATGTGTGAGGCAATGTGTGTGTATGGGGGGTAGTGTATGTGTAGGGCAATGAGTGTATGGGGGGCAGTGTATGTGTGTGGGGGACAATGTGTGTATGGAGGCAGTGTGTGTATGGGGACTGTGTGTATGGGGGCAATGTATGTATGGGGCAGTGTGTGTATGGGGGCAGTGTTTGTGTATGGGGCAATGTGTGTATGGGGGGCAGTGTATGTGTATGGGGCAATGTGTGTATGGGGGCAGTGTATCTGTATGGGGGGCAGTATATGTGGGGCAGTGTTTGTGTATGGGGGCAGTGTGTGTGTATGGGATGCAGTGTGTATGGGGGTAGTGTATGTGCATTTGGGGGGGGCAATATGTGTGTGTGTGTAGGGTGTGTGTGTGATAAGAAGGGTGGGTTGACCCCCTCCCTTCTTACCTTTACTGAGGGAGGAGAGGGGATATTTTTCGATCCCTGGTGGTCCGTGAGGAATGCCTGGTGGTCCCAGTGGTGAGAGTGAACCTAGCACGTAGCTCCAGGGCTAGAGTTCACTCTCGCGAGATCCAGAGCGTTGCCCTGGTAACCGCGGCAACGCTCCTTGCGCGCAAGAGAAGGACCCAGAGGAGCTGCAGGCTGAGCTCCCGGGTCCTCCCTCCCCTGCAGGCTGCCAGCACAGTGCATGCGGACCAGGGAGGGAGATCTCTGATCTCCCCTCCGGTCCGTGAAGGCACATTGCAGGGCCGGTGCTGGCAGGGCCGGTGCTGGCAGGGCCGGTGCTGGCTCGGTCTGCTCGGTTTTCTCAGGATCCGCCACTGGTAACATCTACCTCTCTAATGAGATTGTGGCAAAAAACGGAGGCCAAGGTAAGTGGCTACAAATTCCCTTTAAAGTTAGATATGCATAACGTCTGCACAAAAAACAAAACTGTGTTGTTGCTTGACCTTTTTTTTCACATGTAATGGTACCTATTTCTTGCCTATTAAAGGAGGTGTAGTCTTGAATAGCAGATGTCTGCCAGCCAGGAACACTTTGCAAAAGAGATTATATAGGCAAGAGGAAGCATAATATCTGTAATATCTGAGTAGGGGGTGGATATATGCAGATACACAGTGACACAGGAACTCATTGCTCTGTAATCTATGCAAGGAACGTAGGCTATCGGTCTTGTAGTGACACTTTAATGATGATAATAACAATAGTCATCTGATATACATATGGCAACTAACCACACATATTTAGCATTGTGCTGTGTGACTGCAAATGCTGTAAATGCTGTCACCACAGCCCTGAAGATTATTTTGAATTGTGAATTCTTACTTTGGATTTTTTGTTCCTCCTCGTTCTGGGGATGTCCCAATTCTAATTTCTGCCCCATTAATCCTTTCATTGCAACAGTCACCTCTGTTTGTTATGTTCAATCGATTCACATAGTAGATCTTTGTGAGGTCCAGTCTCCACCAGGGTTCTATATCCAGATCTGTGTGCGAACAGTGACTTGACATGTATCTAGTGCTTTGGGAGCCATCTATAGCATTTTCGGCTGCCCCAAACAAATCATATGTGCTGGATTGTGAACTAATACCCCTAAAAGCAAGATTGATTCCTGAAATAAAGAGAGTTTTCTAATTAGCCAAAAGCCATAAACACTAAGTCACAAAAAATATCATTTTAATAAAAAAAAAGGTATTTAAGAAAAAATCACAATGACAATTGTTAATTTCACAATGAAAATAAGTGGAAAAGAAAAGAGTACAATAAAGTTTATTAATTGTTAATGTAATGTGATAAACTACTACATGTAGGAATACTGCAAGAGTAGCCACCGTAAACTATAAAAATATGATCATCCATCACCCAGTGCAGTTTTACGAAAACAAAGTGGAAGAAAGAAACTCTGGGGATTCTTTATCACAGTGTTCTGAAAAGTAACTTTTAAATTCAAAAGAAGGACTTGGCAAAATAAGGACAGGAAAAGAGGACTTTTAAGAAGAAGAAAGGGCCCCAACAACCCTTCATACACGGTGGGCACCATAACAATGTCATTATCAAGTTGTTATGGTGCAAGGATGTCCCGGGTCCAGGGAAAAAGACACATAAGAGGATTTTAGAGAATTTAAGTAATTGATTCAATCTACATTACGCTTTAATTCATATTCAAATACCTACGGGTGTGCAGCTTGGAATGAAATGAATCTCCAAGTCAAGTGTTAAGAGATAGGGTTAATGTTAGTTATTGCTCTGTTTAGGATTAGGAAATGTCAGTGTTTAAGGTTAGGATGATTTAGAGTTAATGTTTATGAATAGACTTAGGGTGTTTACTGTTAGTGATTAGGGTTAGTGTCAGTGTTGAGGGTTTAGGGTTAGTTAGTTAACAGTTGAAGATTAGAGTAAATTAATATTACAGTTAAGTTAGTGTCAGTGTTTAGGGTGAGCTAATGTTAGTGTCAGTGTTTAGGATTAGAGTTAATGATTAATGATTAATGCAAGGCTTAGTTAGCTTTAGTTTTTGGAAAAGGCTTTGCCATACCATCGCATTATAAAAAATAAAAAAAAAAGCTTTCACTTGCAAATCTATAATCCAAGTTACTACTAAGGTATTGGCAACACAAAATTAGATTTAGAGAGTTAGATTTCAGTATGTCCCCCTGACTCATCTTTGACATAAATATTAGATTTTATTTATAGCTCAAATGTACCTTCATCTTCTTTAATGTCTATACTTTCTGTATCTTCATTATCTAAAAGCAAAAAAAAAACAGGTACAATATTAAACAAAATCATCAATAAACTAATGTCATTCTTATTAAATGTAGGATAAGATGCATGTTTTATTAACCCCTTAAGGACACATGACGTGTGACATGTCATGATTCCCTTTTATTCCAGAAGTTTGGTCCTTAAGGTGTTAACCTTTTACATCCCATAGAATGCATTATTTGGAGAACAGAATAAAAAGGGTAGCGTGGTTAAAACATTTGTGCCCTTGGCATTTAAACATTTTATAGTGTAGCTTTCAGGGGAACACAGTAAAGAAAGGGGTTCTATATGTCTTACCAATCCACTTATTGTTTTCCAAACTCTGTTCACTCTCCACAAATTATGTTCCCTGATTATATACTTTTATTTTGGATAATTGATATCGAGGGAGCAGCTGTAATTGTTCACTATATTTTGCCACAAACAGCTTTTTTCTCCTTTTTTACTGCCCCATGTCAAGTCCTATTTTAAATATACAGCATTCTAATACAAACCATTCTTTATAATGAAGGAACTGTTATATACTCGAACTTATAGCACACATTATAAATAAATGATATAAAAAAATATGTGCATCCACACGTTACGAAAATGTATGCAATTACAACATCATTAGTTGATTCTGGTTGTTATGCACATTGCCAAGTGAAAAATTGAATTACAAGTTTACACTATCCATTGTAAAAAACTTACAGTAATCAAATAAGTCATCATATAGGCGAAATGGACCTGCAGATAATAGACAAATGAAAAACAAATTAGAATAGTTAAGAGGACATGATAAAATACAAAATATAAATCATAGTAATAATGTAAAAAAAGCAGCCTATTTTTTTGTATTAATGCTCAGAGTGTCCCTTTATGCTTCACCACCTCATCCTGCAATCTTGGATACATTTGCAAAGCTTGGCTAGATAATTCTACTCCTATTCAGAGATCTCTCAGAACCATTCTCCAATAACATACTTTACAGATCAGATTACTTTGATTTCTATGTGACTGTGGATGCCCACATGTTAATTATGGTTGAAGTGAGTAGAGATACAAAAATAAGTTCCTTTCTCTTTTGTTGCAATAGTGTAAGGGCAGTTACTCTAAATGGAATGTAAATGTTCTGCGTCTTGACTATGACTATATTGTGGTCCAATGGTTCAATCCAGGTATTATCTTTATGTTTTGACAACATCTTTATTCTGATACCAGTGGCGTACCTACCATGGCCACAGGGGTCGCAGCTGTATATGGGCCGTTACTCTATTGGACCCAGTCCCACGGCATTACTGCAGGACCGGAGCACGGCCGCACTGGCAGAGGGCCCGTGGGGGAGTGCTGTGCTGCTCTCCTCCTGCCGGTCTCTGTGAGTAGCGTGGCCGAGCAACGTGGCCTGACAGGAAGTGCTCACTAAGAGAGCATTTACTGTCAGATCAGGTACCGCCCAGCCACGCTACACAGAGTCAGGAGGGACAGGAGGGGTGTGGGGAAAAGAGGGAATGAGGGCAGGATGGGGGTGAGAGAGGGAATGAGGGCTGGACGGGTGAGAGGGTGAGAGAGGGAATGAGGCAAATGGAGGGGCAAAGATGAGACATATGGAGGGGCTGGGAGGGAGAGGGAATGAGACAAATAGAGGGGCTGGGTGGGAGAAGGAATCATCCAAATGGAAGGGCTGGAGGGGGAGGGAATAAGACAAATGGAGGGCTGGGGACGGAGAGGATATTAGAAAAATTGAGGGGTTGTGGGAAGAAGAATTAAACACATGGAGGGGCTGGGAGGAATGAGACAAACAGAGGGGCTGGCATAGAGGGAATCATCTAAATGTAGGGGCTGGATTCCCTCCTCTCCTCCCCCGCGGCTCTGTAAACTTGGAGGAAGTGACGGATTCCCCCAAGCTCTGATATCATCATTAGGAAATTCATTGCCATCGAGTGGCCCCAGGAACATGGCTGGGGCCACACAACAATGCCCTAGAGTGTCGGGCCCAATCGCAGCTGCGACCCCTGCGACCGCGGTAGTTCCGCCACTGGCTTGGGGAGAGGGGGAATGAGACACAAGGAGTGCTGTGGGGAATGAGACATATGGATGAGCTGGGGGAGGGAATGAGATACATATAAGGGTGGGGGGAGGGAATGAAACACATGGAGGGGGGTGAGGGAACACATGGGGCTGGAGCCCCAGGGCAATTTTCGCACCTGGGCCCAATGGTTTCTAGTTACACCTCTGTCTGATACCTTTAAGAAATTAGTTAAATGGGCAAAATGGCCACAGCTTTGAAGTATATTCTAGATTATTGCACTGTGTTGGCTATGTTTACATGCAGCTCTTAAATAAAATAGATGTGTCTACCTTATTATAGCTCTCCCTCATTAAACTAAAACAACTCAGCAGATGGGAGGCTCTATACATTTCCCAGTTTTTTATATTTACAATATTATAGTACTTTGTCTATGAATAAGAGATGTGTAGCCCTAAATATGTTATACTTTTTCTTTTAATACCGTGTTTCTCCGAAAATAAGACCGGGTCTTATATTAATTTTAGTCACAAAAAACACACTAGGGCTTATTTTCAGAGTAGGGCTTAGAGCCAGTCTGTCAGCCGGTGTCCGCGTTGTGTAACCCCCCAGAGACCCTCACCTCCCCCTCCCTGTAATACTCTCCTCCCCCCTCCCTGTAATACTCTCCTCCCTCCCTCCCTATAATACTCTCCCTCCTCCCTGTAATATTCTCCCTCCCTCCCTGTAATACTCTCCTCCCTCCCTCCCTATAAGACAGTACTCTCTCCCTCCCTCCTGTAATATTCTCCCCCCTCCCTCTCTCCCTGTAATACTCACCCTCCAATACTCCCCTCCCTCCAATACTCCCCCCCCTCCCTCCCTCCAATCTTCTCCTCACTTGCTCTTCCCTGTAGCGTGGCCGAGCTCCTTTCCGGTCCGCGACCTGGAAGTGCACTGAGTGCACTCCTGTCAGTCCAGCCGGGTCGCGGACCGGAGAGGAGCTCGGCCACGCTACAGGGAAGGGGAGGTGAGGCAGTGCGGCAGCCGTCTGAACGCTCTCTGCCTAGGTCTTATTTTTGGGGTAGGACTTATATTGCAGCCCACCCCGATAATCCAGCTAGGGCTTATTTTAGGGGTAGGTCTTATTTTCGGGAAAACACGGTATCACACTGTGACCCAATCATTGTTTTGTAAGCAATAAAGAATAATTACATTTTTTTACAGCACTTTTCTTGGTTAATATTAAGAGTTCATGGAGATTTTAACCTGCCCTAGTGAAACTGAGACTATAGTTCTTGTTTACTGTTCCTAATTAGATAATCTGGTCTCCTCTCATATGTGAAGACCTTCGTGTGCATTTTTCTTCTATTATTATAGATTTGACTTTATTTTCTTCTATGTCTTGATGATTCTTTGTCATGTCTTTGTTAAGTTCATGTATCAAAAAGGTCTCCTATAAGATGGCATTAACTTCCTTTGTTTCCCTAGTAAAACGTGAAGTATTTTATGTGGCCTAGTGGTTTGGAAACCACCTAAGGTGCCCATTTCACTGCATTGCATGGGAGATGGGTATAATTGGCTTGTGCGTGGTATGTTTTCATTCAAGCTCTGCACATGAAGAAACAGGAACTTATTTTAGAGAAGCATTGACTGCGCACAGCTTTCAGCATACTTACCATGCTGACTCCATACATCAAATAGAATCAATGATTGAATATATTTCTAGTGGAAGCCAGTAATGGTAGTGGCAGTCTGCCTTAAAGCTATTGGAGGGATGGCATTTTTCGATGTAAACAGTGTTGTCTATTAGAAATTGCAGGGGTTTTTTTTTAAGGTTTTAGCGGTAGTATCTATGCCCCAAAATCACTTCATTAAGATTAAGTGTTTTTGGCGTTTAGTCTGTCCTTTAAACATTTTAAACAATGAAATTAATATAATTGGAAATTAATATTAAATATATAACTTACCTGGGATGTGATCTATATGTGATTAAAAAGAAAAAGAATGTTATTCTAAACAGGTCTTAGATAAGCATCAAACAGTGCAGCCCAGTATCATGTATATCATATAAATCAACAGTGCATACGGAATACAATGTGTGTTTTGTTAAAGGAACAGTAAACCTAATTCTATATTGCAGGTAAAGTAAATTCGATGACGACTGACTTAATTTTCTATTATTACGAATCTGAATATTTTGTTTTCAAGAAGATCCGTTGGTGCAGTTACCTCATCCCCTTCCTGAAATCAATGGTTTAATGAGTAAGAGAGAAAATTCAGGAGTTCAGTATGCATGTGGTGAGTGTGTAGGGCCATTTAAGATTTGTGAGTTCTAAGTACAGGAAAATGCCATCTGTTTGTACTTGCACCACAGGCAAAATGTTGCAAGTCCTCCCCTGATAATGCATAAATATGGCAAGCCCTTCTTTTATCGTTTTATTCCCAAGTTAGTAGTTAAATCCACATATCTTAACTTTCAATTACCAAACTCCCTCTTCAAAGATAAAAATGCCCATCAACTCAATTTGATCATAGTTTACTTACCTTCAAATATCATAGTTTCATCTTCTTGTTGTTGTTCTATTTCTAAAAGAAGAAGATATTGTCATTAACTACAAATCTGAATACCTGATATTAAATACCAATAACTCCCTGAATTCATATATTAACTAAAGTTGTAGCCACATCTTCATGCCTCTTCGTGTTAGAGGATTACTCCAACTACCATAACCACTTCAGTGATTTGAAGTGGTCTACTTGAAACACTGCACATTCAGAGATATTAGTAATTGTGTGTCAATTCTGTGCCTAAATTATGTCTGATGTCAGCACGGACTGAACGCCTGCAAGGTTTGCTCCCACCCTGACTTCATCTGTAAGTTCCCTCCACGCTCCCTTTCGCCTCCCTCCATCACTTATATGTTTTATTTTTTTAAAGAAACCCCTCCCCGCTCCCTCCCTCTGCCTCCCTTCCCCCCTCTGCTTCCCTCCCCTGGCACACATGCATGCACTCTGAGCCAGCGACTTGGTCCAGTGAAAGGCTTCTCTATGAGAAGCCTGTGATTAGTCTGCACGTTGCCCCATTGACATCAGGATGGGGCGCATTAAAAGCAGCGCTGGGAACTAGGCCTGGTGCTGAATTTCAGTAAAAGTAAGTAAAACCTTTTATTTCTAGGTTTTATAGTGAATTGAGAGGGCTACCTTCTCAACAATTTCCAATAGGGCATCTTACACCAAAAGGCTTATAGTAACCCTTTAAGAAGAGATTTTGATTGCAGTGGAATGCTTTAACCTTTTGACATCTTCTGGTATAGCATCATTTTTGCTTGTGGTTTCCAGTATCCATATACAATGGACTTTCTCAGTGCCATAAAAAATAAGGACATGAAAAACGGCCAGTGCTTATGTATATACCACTATGAAAAATATTCTACTTCAGTTAAGAAAGTTTAGTACATGGCCATACACATTCAGAAATAGAGTGTAGAATAAAAAAATAGATGTCAAAATCCCTTCATCTAGAAATCAAATGGCCGAATGAAAACAGCAAGAGTGAATGTATGTGTCGGTTGCTAAATGAGAGGTGGTTAGAGGGGAGGAAGGGGCGGGGGGAACAGTGGCAAGATGTCACTTAATATACTATCTATCAACGCAAGGGGTTTACACTCAGGAGAGAAAAGGGGTTACTTATACAAATTATTAATTGATAGTAAAACTGATATTGGTTTCGTACAGGAAACACATTGGATAAACTCTACATCTAAGCTATGGAATTATAAAAAATTTCCAGTGATACATAGCTCTAACTTAATTGGAAAAAATAAGAAAAGAGGGGTAGCAAATATTTTTTCTGGATAAATTAAATTTGCCAAAAATATCAAATGAGAAATTAACTCAGCTAAGTAGTCCTTTTTCTATACAGGAGATTAGTAATACTATTAGTGCTTTAAAAGTGGGCAAAGCCCCAGGTCCAGATGGTTTTCATCGATTTTTTATAGGAAATATAGGACCATTGTACATTCCTTTAAAAATCCATCTACAGGGAGTGCAGAATTATTAGGCAAGTTGTATTTTTGAGGATTAATTTTATTATTGAACAACAACCATGTTCTCAATGAACCCAAAAAACTCATTAATATCAAAGCTGAATATTTTTGGAAGTAGTTTTTAGTTTGTTTTTAGTTTTAGCTATGTTAGGGGGATATCTGTGTGTGCAGGTGACTATTACTGTGCATAATTATTAGGCAACTTAACAAAAAACAAATATATACCCATTTCAATTATTTATTATTACCAGTGAAACCAATATAACATCTCAACATTCACAAATATACATTTCTGACATTCAAAAACAAAACAAAAACAAATCAGTGACCAATATAGCCACCTTTCTTTGCAAGGACACTCAAAAGCCTGCCATCCATGGATTCTGTCAGTGTTTTGATCTGTTCACCATCAACATTGCGTGCAGCAGCAACCACAGCCTCCCAGACACTGTTCAGAGAGGTGTACTGTTTTCCCTCCTTGTAAATCTCACATTTGATGATGGACCACAGGTTCTCAATGGGGTTCAGATCAGGTGAACAAGGAGGCCATGTCATTAGATTTCCTTCTTTTATACCCTTTCTTGCCAGCCACGCTGTGGAGTACTTGGACGCGTGTGATGGAGCATTGTCCTGCATGAAAATCATGTTTTTCTTGAAGGATGCAGACTTCTTCCTGTACCACTGCTTGAAGAAGGTGTCTTCCAGGAACTGGCAGTAGGACTGGGAGTTGAGCTTGACTCCATCCTCAACCCGAAAAGGCCCCACAAGCTCATCTTTGATGATACCAGCCCAAACCAGTACTCCACCTCCACCTTGCTGGCGTCTGAGTCGGACTGGAGCTCTCTGTCCTTTACCAATCCAGCCACGGGCCCATCCATCTGGCCCATCAAGACTCACTCTCATTTCATCAGTCCATAAAACCTTAGAAAAATCAGTCTTGAGATATTTCTTGGCCCAGTCTTGACGTTTCAGCTTGTGTGTCTTGTTCAGTGGTGGTCGTCTTTCAGCCTTTCTTACCTTGGCCATGTCTCTGAGTATTGCACACCTTGTGCTTTTGGGCACTCCAGTGATGTTGCAGCTCTGAAATATGGCCAAACTGGTGGCAAGTGGCATCGTGGCAGCTGCACGCTTGACTTTTCTCAGTTCATGGGCAGTTATTTTGCGCCTTGGTTTTTCCACACGCTTCTTGCGACCCTGTTGACTATTTTGAATGAAACGCTTGATTGTTCGATGATCACGCTTCAGAAGCTTTGCAATTTTAAGAGTGCTGCATCCCTCTGCAAGATATCTCACTATTTTTGACTTTTCTGAGCCTGTCAAGTCCTTCTTTTGACCCATTTTGCCAAAGGAAAGGAAGTTGCCTAATAATTATGCACACCTGATATAGGGTGTTGATGTCATTAGACCACACCCCTTCTCATTGCAGAGATGCACATCACCTAATATGCTTAATTGGTAGTAGGCTTTCGAGCCTATACAGCTTGGAGTAAGACAACATGCATAAAGAGGATGATGTGGTCAAAATACTCATTTGCCTAATAATTCTGCACTCCATGTAAATGGGCCTGGGGAAAAAATGCTTAAAGAGGAATTTAAGTGTGATTGGGAGGCTAGGAATATAAAATATCTAGAAGTAATGCTATCTTTGGAATATAGGGAAATCGGAGTACTCAATTATTTAGAAATAGCTACCCAATTTAGGAGTACTCTTAAAACCTGGAGGGGCGTAGAACTTTCATGGATGGGAAGAATTGAGGCAGTTAATTCCTATTTACTTCCCAAACTGACATTTGTATTCAGGAATCTCCCGCTGATGGTGGACTCCCAGACAATACGTGGTCTTCAAAAACAGATTTCAGACTATATTTGGCAGGATAGGCGACCCAGAGTGTCATTGGAAATCCTACAGAGAGATTGGAGGGAGGGGGGAGTTTCCTTTCCGGATGTTCAAAAATTATATATGATTAACATGATAGTACATCTAATTATGTATGATAATTTTACAACCTCAAGACCAACTTGGATAGATATTGAAAAAGCTGACATTGACAATCTCAAACCTCTATTTCTTTTATGGTGTGATAGTAAATTTGTAAAAAGTCTAAAACCAAACAATCCGATAAATAACACAATGATCTATATAGTAAAATATCTAAAGAAAAAATATGGTACCAAATATATATCAAAAAATGCCCCACTAGCATGCTTAAAATTCTACATAAAACATATAAATATTCAAGAATGGGAAAAGTGTGGAATTGTAAAATTTGAGGAGTTATTAGAGGGAAACCAAATTCTAGCATTTCCAATGTTACAGCTTAAATATAATCTTCCTTCTAAAGAAGTATTTAACTATTTAAGAGTTAAATCCTTAATTTTAAGTAAATAATTTTTGGAAAATACCCCAATCGATCAATTTATAGCATTCCATTATAGGAAAAAAATTGCTTCTAGATTGAATCACTTTATAAAAAAACAAAAGCAAATAGATAAAGCATCAGCATGGATTAAATGGGAGCAAGAATTTCAAATTTCTTTTATGCTTGAAGAGTGGTTATCGGGTCTACACTTAGTAAAAAGGCATATACATGGGGTAACATACGGAAAGTTTATTTTAAACTTGTTTACAGATGGTACTTGGTGCCCACTCGTCTACACAAATTTCAACCTACACTCCTACCAGATTGTTGGAGATGTGGTAGGGCATTAGGCTCATTTTCCCCACATATGGTGGGATTGCGAGGAGCTGAACCCTATGAAATTAATTCCATCTGGGCTTGTAAATTTTATTCTTAAGGCACGAATTGATATAACTGCCCAAATGTTTTTGTTCCATTTAGATTTGCCAAGGATTAATATCAAAATTAAAATTCTTATGATTCATATCTTTATGGCAAGTAAAATAGTTATGGCCAGTAACTGGAGAAACATAGGTCCTTTGAATTGGCACGACATATGTACACAAGTGGATTTCCAATACAGGATGGAAGCAGGCATAGCATTGGATAGAGTATCCAAAGAGAAATATGATGAAATTTGGGCCCCTTGGGTTAGATATTTAAGAACAAAAGCTTAATTCCCCCATACCATCCTCTCGTTGTTAGGAAACTTAGCAGTTTCATCTTTTCTTTTGTATGGGTATGAAAGGGTTTAATGTGTCTGTCTTTGTGATTTGAACATTTCTATTGTATAAACAAACAAATTTATAGCTATGGATATGATATGTATTAAAATAATTCATTGTAATATAGCAAATCTATTTTTAATGTATGTTATATGAATGAAAATTATGTGAAAATAAACATATATATATATATATATATATATATATATAAAAAAAAAAAAATCCCTTCATCTTTTCCCTTACCAGCATCCTCATTTAGAAGTCCAAACACTTGAACTTCGCAGATGGTCAAAGACTTGTTCCTTCCTGGGATATTGACAGTCACATATTGTCCTAACATGCCATCACATTCAAATGCAAGGGTCTCCCCATTATTCATCTTCGGGATAATTCCACATCTAAAAAAAACATATACTGATTTTAAAAAGCAAACCTTTTATCAGAAGGTCAGTTAGTTTTTATATTGTCTCCAATTGACTTATGAAACTGCTCAAGAATTCTTGCATACACATGTTAATTCTCTCAGACAACTGTTCCCAGTCACACGCCCACATAGACTCACCACTTCCCGTTATAAAGGAAAAATTTTGGCTTGTAACAAAGTATTTACATGGGGTTATTAGTGCCTCCATTTTCTGCTGAGTTTCCAATTCTTATTTGGGCTCCATTAATCCTTTCTGCACAGCAGTCACCTCTGTTGGTAACAGTTACAGTAAAAACTTTGTGTGTTGCCTTAAGATCAACCATCCACCAAGGATTATCTTGCTCGGAAGTACCGGCGCATTGGATAAAGAGGTAATTACTGGATAGAGACCCATCAATGGCATTCTTCGACTCTCCATACATGTTATAAATACTGGACTGCGTGGAAACACCATTCACTGCCACATTTGGAGCTATAGATAGATCAATAAAGATATGGTTTATATACTTTTTGACACATTTCAGCCGAGGTGTATAATACTCTGTAATCTTATTCGTGTTTATATAAAGCATCACTACTTTATAGGAAGACATAAGTTTTCCTTGGAGAACTACATCTCCCAGCATGCTCTACTAAAAATTGGCTAGATGCATTTTGACAAAGTAATCTAGCTATTATCGTGAGATCATGCTCCCAGTTTTCGTATGGGAGGTCATCCACAGTATTTATAAGCAGTTTGTGTGCTTTTTCTAGCCTATTCCTATTTTTGAGATTATGCTAAGATTTACATTTAAAATTATAAAGAAGTAAAAAAAAGGAGAGAAAGACTGAGGTCATGGCAAAACAAGTCATCATTAACAATTATTCTTATCCAATATTGGCCTGCTTTTATATTGTTGGATAAGCTTTTCAAATGATTTTATGTTTTTGGATAAACGTTTACATTTATCAAAACATTAAAATATGAAAAAATATATCATATATAACAGAGTATTACTATATACAAAAACATTTGAAAATATTACAAAAATAAAATATATATTTTTTAATATTAAATCATAGTGAAATGTATTTATTAAATCGAGGTAATATTAATGAATGGGTTAATTATTCAATATAACTTGTGGCTTCCTTTTACTACCTCCGTTTGGAGTCTTGAAGGGTTCACCTTCTTCCTGTTCAATATCTATAAATACACAAAGAATGCAGCAGTTTAACCTTTGAGATACGTTAATTAATTTTGGTCTTATCCTTTCTTTATCCCATTCTATCTCCTACCTGTATTACTGGCAGGTAAACCATATACTTGCACTTCGCAGAGGATAAGATGCTCTGCCCGTCCAGGTATTGTAACAGTAACATATTTTCCAATCATTCCTTCACACGAAAAGGAAATTGTTTGTCCAGATTCAATTTTTGGGATTGTACCACATCTAAAAAAGATTAAAATAAGTCACCATACAGTAAAAATAGAAGGTTGGAAGAATAGAATGACAATGGAAATGCACAGAGTTTGGATAAATTGGAATGAAATTGGAATGGATGGAAGTTGGGAAATGCCTAATTAGGATAAGGGAGGCATAACAATGACAATTAAAGGTAGAATACTTCATAAAGAGTAAAAAGAAGACAGATTGGAGACAACATTTGAATATATGAGATATAGTTTATTTATGGTAACTGGACTTGTGCACAATGGGATTATTTGGTGAGGCCAAATCATTTCCTGAAAATGCAACTTTTTTCGAAATGTACGATGCTTGTCCATTTGCCATTTTAGCTTCTCCAAACTCAGTTCATGGAAAAATATTTGGGAATTATTCAAACAAGCCAAAAAAGTGGGGGAAAAAGGTGCCTATTAGTGTGCTGCAAAAATGGCATATACAATATGAGCCATTGTGATATGACAAATATGAGTTGTCAACTTGTCATAGTTACTTTATTATATATAGCCAAAGACCGCTTCCTAGCTGGAACAGAGGACCAACTGCAGCACTTCTGCCCACAGTCGCAGTGGCTTGACTGGGGCCCTGGAGCCGCTTCTTCCTGGAGCCGAATGGGGAATTCGCTCTAGACACCCCAGGCACTGGACGATACTCAGTCCTGGGAGTTCTAGTCCTTACAAGGACTTTCCCCGTTGAATCCCCTGCAAGCTGGAACAGCAGATACAGGAGTAAATGTTCTTTCCCTCCAATAAGAGGACGACACAAAGTTTTGGAGTGTAAGCTGGAATAGATTTTAATGGTGCCACACTTGACCTTTTATTCAAGTCCCCAAGCATGGACCTTATTGGGGACAGGGGCACAAACTTACAAACCAATAATAACACATTTACAATGTAAGGCACTCACACACATGACACACAATCCCTCCCCCCTGCTTGGGAGATAATTGGATCAGTAACTGTACTAATTCCAATCCAATTATCTCCAAGCATAGAAAAAAAACATACATTTCTAAAAAGTCCCAAAAGTACCCCAAAACACATGATATCCCCACAAATGATCCCTTGATAGCCCTGATCTGGGTGACCAACATATCCAAAAATCACCCAGATCAGTTCAGGGGTTCAGGAATTTCCTGGAAGTCATAGTTTTGACCGACCGTGCACATGATCCTATGCCCAAAACAGTTCCAGGGAATCAGTGCTAACAGTCGGGTAAGTTTGGTAGTATTTTACAGGTTTCCCTGCAGGGACCATAGTCTGTGGGCAGGAGGCTGGCAAGCAGGCTCCTCCAGGAGCTCATGGCAAACTCACTTGGAGAGGGGAGTTTGTCACATAAGTGAAAGATGATGGACTGTTTTTCCCTTTGTAAGTTAAATGAAGGGAATTTTTCAAAAAATTAAATAGTGGAACTGAGTGGGCCATCAACTGCCCATTTTATGATTCCTTTAGTTTGATTGAAAAATCCCCAGTTTAACAGTAAATTATTTTTTAAAATGCCTTTCATAGCAGTGGTGATGCCCTGCCTGCCTGCATCTTGTGGTGTCTGCTACCTTCGCAGATGCAGTTGGGAGAAGTTGATGGGAGGGCACTGTTTTTACACATTAAAGGATGGTCACTGATGCTACAGAGTAGATGTGTGGGACATTTTAGTTCTAAGGGTAGAAGGGGTGAGTGGGACATCAATCACCCATATGTCCACTCATTTTTTTCTGATAAAAAGAAGTGACCAGACTTCAGTGTGGAAAAAAACAGATTCTCACAACTGTGTCTGGGGAGGTAGCAGGTGTAGTTACACTGCAAGCCAGGACAGAGCAAAACCACTACAATTAATTTTAAAACATTACAACATCCACCCTTGCCATATCTTAGAATACTATTTTGCAACAATTAGTACACACAAAAAAACCTGACACAATTAGTGCAGACAGGGTTACCTTGTGCACAAGTGTACCCTGACTGTGCCAATGTTTGCCAATGTTTGTGCTTTGCAAATTTACACAATCATTTGAAAATCTGAATAGCAGAAACATTGGCACTGAAGCATACTGCAAACAGAAATAAAGAAAAATAATTTCTAATTAGTGGGATAATAGCTGCTTGATCCAAGGAGACATCTGACTGCTATTTTGGGGGGAAGAAGGAATTTTTTCCCTAGTTTGTTGCAAAATTGGAAGCGCTTGAGACTGGATTTTTTGCCTTCTTTTGGATCAACAGCAAAAACATATGTGAGGAAGGCTGAACTTGATGGACGCAAGTCTCTTTTCAGCTATGTAACTATGTATCATAGTTGATGTAAGTGACACTGGCAGTAGCTAGGCAACACAAACTTTTTTAAAAAAAATATATTTCTTTTTCAATAGCCTGAGCCTTTACACTACCATGCGGTTGAGTAATGTATTGCTAATGGAAAAGCTGATGGTGCTCGTGGTGGTGGCTGTTGTGCTTGTAGTGTTACTGGTGGTGGTGGTGAATAGTAGTGAGAATTATGACAGAGAGTGAGCTATGTGTGGCCCTGGTAGCAAACATACATAGGCTGAAAAATGACTTGCGTTCATCAAGTTTAACCTTTTTAACATCTGTTTCTGCAGTTTGATCTGAATGTTAGAACTGTGTCCATTGGATGAGGTGAATCAAAAGTAGATAAAGATGGCTTAGCCCAGGTGGAGAAGAAGCAGCATTAGAAGAAAATCATGCAATGGTGGTGGAAAGAGTGACATCATCATTACCAGATTCATCACCACCACAAAGACCAGACTTTGGGGACACTACGGGTGATACTCTGCTATACCTCTTCAGTACAGGTAGTACCTGATGGCACAGATAAGCAAGACTTTGTTGAGGTATTAAAACTCTGAGATGCCATGGCACTATTGCTGACATATACACAACTGAATATTGATACACTGATGACAAAAATTTTAGATTGTATTAGTCATGGTTGTATTCAGAATGATAAAGACTGACAACAAAATAAAGTCATAATAATAAATAACAATATCATGCTAATGTCAACATTCTTCGATATTAAACTATTTTCTTCTCCAATTATAGTGCATTCTTTTTTTTGGTGATTTTTAACAGATCTGTATTATAACAAAAACTAGCTATGCAGCCTTGATTTCAAATAGATGTTCTGCTTATTAGTTTTTTGTTTTAATGGAAATAGCACATTCATGAAGTGGTTGATAGAATATGTATTGATTGGTTCTATTAGTATTATATGTTTGTTTTCATGCTTGGAATAAAGAATACCTGGGGTTTAATGTGCCTCCATTGTTCGGGTTATTCCCAATTCGAATTTCTGCTCCGTACAGTCTTTCTTTGCAACATTCTAGTACTCGATTGGTAACAGCCACTGAGAAGATCTGGTACCTGTTTTTCAGATTCACCATCCACCAAGGGTTCAATTCCTTCTCTGTGTATGAGCACTGTGATCTTAGGTAATTATTTTCTAATGATCCATCATTGGCATTACGAGCATTCCCATAATACGCATAGGTACTGGACTGCGTAGATGTTCCACTAATAGCTATATTGGGTGCTGAAAAAATGTGGTTTAGTTTTAATAGAGACGTTTATAAACCAGTGCAAAAATAGTTTAATAAAGGAGGATGTGGGAAAAATAAACCAATATAAACCTTATTCATGAAAAGCTTTTTTTCCACGATATTTTTTCTAAATTTGTAGGATAATAAAGCATTCACACCAGCATCAATCAGGAGATATCTTCAAAGGTTCTACATTAAGCTTATTGTATAATTTATAATCTATTTTAATGGGTTAATGTCCCCAAATTCAAGTTTTAAGTGCCAACAGTCCTTAGCAGACATATTACACTGTATAGGGCATGCCATCATATCCAAAACGTTCATATTCTATGATTGGCCTTCTCCACCTGGATTTGCACTTTTTGACATATTCCTGTCCTACGCCAAATGTAATAAACAAACTGCTGATAATAAAATAATCCTACATCACTGGCCAACTATATCGTCAATGTCCCTGTTTTAGGATAAACTTGCTTTTACACTTAACATGAATTTTTTTGAAGGCATTGCAGAATAAATAATTCCTCAACCTAAAAAAATCATCAATATTGGAAAAACAATATTCTACTACTTGATTATATTAAATGAAACCCTTTCTAGAAGCACTCATGAGATAACTGTCCGTAGCCTTGGTTAACTTCTTTCATGCCCAACACATATCCCCCTTTTCAGTGTCATTATAAATTCACCCCTCATCTCATTTGTTTCACTGGCAGTGTCTTAATCAGTACTGATTATTTTTATTTTTTTCATTGAATACGTTGTTGTATTTCTCTTTGTTCACATTTTGTTTTGTAATTACAATTATAAAATTATTGAACAGTTGCTGTTTATTTATATTGATGTGCAATTCCTGGAATGATTATTCCTGTATTCCAATTCCAATATTGCTCAATAAAATATAAATATGAAAGGAACGTACCATACAATCTGACATATTTTTCAATAATAGAGAATTAAATAACCATGATAATTACAAATTAATTAGTAACCAAGAAAGACAGGAAGAGAGGTTAGGGTGAAGGGAGTCTACAGTGACTGGATCAGCGTTGATAAGATTTGCACTCATTAATGTTTATTTACATTTTCAGTTCAGCTATTTTGTTCTTAATTTTGAAATTCACTTTGAAATTCACGTTGAATTTCTGACAATCCTCATCTTGAATCACCATGATAGTGAAGAAAGTGGGGAAGCAGTATTTTTGAAAAATATCCAAGGGCACCTTGATCAATTACATGTTTAATATAGAATTCACTTTGCTGGACTTTCTTAAAATGTATAACCAAAACAATAGCAGAATGAAAGATATTAATTTAATTTTTACAAACATACATTTAAAAAATGCTCCTCTGCACATGCAAAAACAAATTTTATACAGAGTAAATAGTTGCAAAACAGAAACCCTATCATTGTTGGCTGTTGGTATGATGATACACAGTTTTACACACAGGAATATAACGCTGCATGCCTTGGACCATTACTTGTCGTGGTAGTTGTACAGCATTCTCGTGTTTCTTCCTTACAGTAACATAACACAATGTCCCAGACCAAAATTTGGCAGTGATAGGATTCCTTCAATGAAATGACAGGTGGGCAGCTCAGAGCTCAAGATTTAAATGAGGAACTGGTTGCATCCCCTTGCCAAAGTTCAAAGTTATTCACTAGAGTAGACCAAAGTAGGCAAACTTGAAGAATAGTAGACTTGGATATTTTTTTTCACTTCAGCTATTTTGGCCTTAAATTTTAAATTCACTTTGTATTCTCATTTTAGTGAATAACCCTGAGTATCATTTAACCATATTTTTTCCCACAACATCCTTTACTTAATTTCTTCTCTCTTTCCCTGATTGCACTCTTCCTTGTTTAAAAATGGTTGCATATCGTATGCTGTTGTGGCATAGTAAGATGTTTTGTTACTACGTGCACAACAAAAATAAATAATAATAATAATAATTTTTTTTTAAATGGTTAATATATATTCCAATATAAGAAAGTTAACGGAATATTGAGTCTTCTTTGAATAGCACAAGAAACAAATACTAATCCTAATTTTGTCATTGACTGGTGGCAAAATGACTGGTGAAAACATGACTACATGCTTACAGGAATACATGCTTATATGTCCATTTATTCGAGCCTAGCATTGAATATTGTTTGATGGGTGGGAGGGGTGCATTTTGCTGTGACTCAAAATGCTATTTAATAACTGGTGTAACTCAGTTGTTATGGCAAAAAGAAAAACAAATTTCAACTGAGCTAAATTACTCCATGTGAAATTACAGAAACGGCAAAGCCATTACATATTTACTAAACTGTGATGTGACTCTTACAGGCATAACACATAGTATATGCTACTCATAATACACATATATGTATTTAAGCATTTCGTACCTGAAAGAGAATATTTCCCATCCGTAGGAGAGGCATCTATGAAAAATTTAATAACAATGTGTTAGTTTCAAAAACCACTGAATCATGATAGTTTGATGAGTACGAAGGTTTACTCTAATTTTGTTGTTGTAGTAAATTGTCTTCAAAGTAATCATATTTAAATCTGTCTTTACTCACCTGTCCAAAAGTGTTCTCCCAAAATATTACTCAAAATCAAGAATACTGTGATCAAATATATGGCCATATTACACACTGCAGGGTTTAGAAGGCATATGTTGGCGTGAATGAATATCTAAAAACAAAAATTCAGTTTTATTTGGGACATTTCACAATACTTTGTTGAAAAGGACAAAGTCACTCATTGGGATATTTGAACTGTTTAAAGATTAACAACTGTCCTTCTGTAAGTCACACTAAGTCATCAGTCAAATTGCTACTAGATTAGTAAAATGGTAAGTTAAACAAAATGTTGTACAGCATTTTCTGTACAAAAAAAACAAACTATAATGACTTAAAATAGTTTAAGTGCTGGCCTCTGATGATAGATTGGATATGTCCATTCTGACCCTGTCATTGGATGCTGAAAAAATGTTTGACAGTGTTGGTTGGGGATATATGTTCAGAACTTTGAAAGTTTTTGGATTGAAGGGAGAAAGATGGGTACAATTAAACCTTTATACCAAAATCCTTCTACCAAAGTAGTTGAAATAGATTTGTGTAGTTTAGTGGTTTAGTTTGCGAAACAGTGCCCGTCAAGGATGCCCACTTTCGCCTATTTTATATATTCTAACAATGGAACCACTGGCAATTACAATAAGAACCAATCCCCATATGAAGGGTTTCCAACTAGATCAGGACACCTGAAGGTATGTTTAAATGTCAATGACACTTAACAGGGGCATACGTAGAGCATGTGGCACTCAGGGCGGATCCTGTATATGGGACCCCCCTCTCCCCAACTTTAAAATGTAAAAAACACCCACAATGTTTTCAAGAATATTCACTGCAGAAATTTGTAAACTGCATGTTAGAAAGAGTTCCCTAAAGGCCCCATTAGAGACTACAATGGAGTCTAATGGGCCCTGGAGAGCAATCTCTCTAACACACTTTCTGCCATTCACAACATAGTAATATAACATAGCTCTCTGATACCCAGCTCAAGTTGTTTCTTCTCAACTTAATTACTGCTGCTAGCTGGCTGCAGTGGCTGGCTGGCAGGCTGGATGCTGTGGCTTGATGGCAGACTGGCAGTCTGGTTAGCTGCTCTGGGCAGCTGGCAGACTGATGTGGCTGGTTGTCAGTCAGCCCTTTTTTGTGTTTCTCCCCCCCTCAGCCCTTCTGTGCGTCTGTTTTTCCCCAAACCCCTTTGTGTGTCTCTTTTCCCCCTACCCCAGCCCCTCTGTGTGTCTCTTTGTCCCTCCCACTGCTTCCATTTTGTCTCTCCCCCCCCCCAGTCTTCTGTGTGTCTCTTTGTGCCACCCCCTGCCCCTCTGTGAGTCACCCCCTGTGCCCTGCTTTTGCCCCTCTCCTCTTGTGCCCTTATTTTGCCCCCTCGTGATCCATTTCCCTCCTCCCCTTCTGTGCCTTTCTTTAGACCCCTCCCCACCCCACCTGTGCCCTCTTTGGCCCCCCTCCTGTGCACTATTTTGTCCCCCTCCCTACATGTGCCCTTATTTGGCCACGCTTCCCACCTGTGATTTCTTTATTCCTCTTCCATTCTGTGCATTTCTTACCCCTACCTTCCTGTGTTCTCATTTGCTCCACTCTCCTCCTGTGCCCTCTTTAGCCCCCTCACTTTCTGTGCCCTTATTTTTTTTTATAATTCTTTATTTTTGTGTGCACAGATATACAGAAAGGCATGTTTAGCCATAGTAGTCTCTGCACTCACAAAATATCACAAAAGGACATTGTCATGGCTTTGATAAACTTGCACATTTTTAGTTTAACAAGAGTAATACAGGCTAGGTAACTATATCACAGTAGTTAGACTGTGCTTAAAGTGATAGGTCAGACAGGTACACTGGGCTTGAGGAATGAACTAGGTAAAACAGTAGGAGCTGCTGACAAGTAACACTAGTGTGGTAGAGTAAAATGAGTAGATCTGTCTATCGATAATCTGACTTCACCTGTATTTTCGAGATGGGGAAGCTGAGCATGCATTAGTGGTTGCAGGCAAGATGGCCTCCGTGAGACATGGGGGGTTTCAAATTAATACGTAGTAAGCTATGAGCCCACTGGGTTCCAGGATCTGGGTAGAAAATAACATAATAAGACAACAGGTCTTAATAAAACAAGCTATCGGCTAGTTATGGAGGAGGATTACAATATCTAGCCCAGGCTCTTGTGATCCCTCCCTCTCTGGCACCCCAGGCCTTCATCCGATACCCATGCTGGTTATCTAAAATATGTTAGGTAACAGTGTCTCAGTTGTCCAAAACTGGCCTCTCTGTCTGCCCCAGGCCCTCTCAGGAGCCCATGTACATGTCCCGGTGCTCTGGTTGCTTTCCGCTCCACCAGCTAAGCCTTGGAAAGGTGTAGTTTGATGTTGCTCCTTCCGAAAGGACGGAGTCGGCATCAGGATCTTCCCCTGCCAGACCCTTCTCCCAAGTACGCGTTAGCGGGCGCTGAGCATTTTGTTGTGTGAGTAGGTAGTTTTCAAGAGGGCCTTGTTCCTCTGTGGCTCCTTAGAGACAGGTGCTGTCAGTGGTCTCTGTTGCGAATTTTTGGGGAATAAGTTCTGCCACTTGGTGTTTCTGCACTGCTCTATCGAAGCTTGCTCCCCCACTCTGCAGCTTCTGCCAGAACTTGCGGAAGAGGTCATCCAGTCGTTGCTCGAGTGTGTCAGGAGATGGCTCACCAGAGTGCTTGTATCAGAGGCAGGTTAGCACTCACAGCTGAGGGTAGTACTTGCAGAACGGTGCTGGGATAACCCCCACCGGCTGGGGGGGAAACAGGGTTCCGACCACTTCAGTGCTTTCCAGCCGAGCAGCCCGCAGGGAGGTCGGCCGCCTCTACCTCGCTCTCCTCCGCCAGTTGGCCGCAATTTGTCGTCGAGTTTAGGTTGTTCGGTATGACACGGGAACCCCACAAATTGAGTCTCAGGGTTACACTGATTCTTCCCAGCTCCGAAGTTGCCAGTTCATTTGGGAAATATCCTTAAAATAGCTCAATAGTGGGTTCTCACACGGAATACACGCTTTGTGCGACCAAGCAGCTTGCCAGTCAGCCCCCCCCTCTTATTTACCCTCCTTCCATCCTGTGCCCTCTTTAGCCCCCTCCCCTCCTGTGCTTTTATTTAGCCTCCCTCACCTTCTGTGTGCTCTTAAGCCCACATCACCTCATGTGCTTTTATTTAATCTCCCTTACCTTTAGCCACCCTCCCCTCCACTCTTTAGCCCCTCTCCCCTCCACTCTTTAGCCCCCTCCCCTGGGGGCAGACTGCGTTGGAGGAGCCTCTGCTTTACGTACCCAGTGTGACAGAAAGCAGTTCTGTGTTCTCTGGGAGCACTTCCTGTCAGACCGGATTGGGGAACAAAGGCTCCACTACCAGGGTCTGCCTGCTCGGTCAGTCTACATGAAGTGAGCAGCAGGAGAGGGGAGCGCGTGTGGTCCCCTCCTGCCGGTCACCAGGAGATCGCACCCCCCAGGTATCCCCCTAATGAGTGGCAGTCGGGACAGACCGCCCACTGCTTAGTACACCAGTGGTACTTAAATAACAATGACTGACCCTGTTACATCAGTTAATTACTTAAAAGAAGATATAGAGCAGTTTAGTGGGATTTCAAATTACAAATTAAACTTCGACAAGACTGTAGAACCCTACTCCTAACCCAACCCTAACCCTATTCCTAATCCTAACCCAAGCCTAATCCTAACCCTACTCCTAACCGAACCCTAACCATATTCCTAATCCTACTCCTAACCCAACTCCTAACCCTACTTCTTACCCTACTCCTAACCCTAACCCTATTCCTAACCCAACTCCTAACCCAACCCTAACCCTTTTCCTAAACCTAACCAAAGGCGTGCGCACGGGGTGTGCCGGGTGTGCCTGGGCACACCCTAATCCCCGTGGCACGCCTATGGTTTGAGTCCTGCAGGAACAGCGTTCCTGCACTTTTTTTTGAGCAGGAACGCTGTTCCTGCAGACACTCAGCACCCCCTGTCTCACCTCTTGCCCCTGTCATGGGTGGGGGGCAAGAGGTGATGGATACCCCCGCTCTGCATCTCATCCGCGGCGAGGGAGCTGTCTGCTCTTGCCGCGCGCTGATGCCGGGAGCCGGAATATGACATCATATTCCGGCTCCCAGCTACAGCAGACAGCCTGCGCGGCGAGAGGGAGCAGAGAGCAGACAGCTCCCTCGCCGCGGATGAGATGCAGGCAGGCGCACGCCCCACTGGACCCCAGGGAAAAGTCCACGCCAGCACTCCAGGTAGGCAGGCTGGGTGGACATTGTATTATTAAAATATAATAATTTGTATGTGTGTGTGTCTGTGAGTGTATGTGTGTGTGTCTGTGAGTGTATGTGTGTGTGTGTCTGTGAGTGTATGTGTGTGTGTCTGTGAGTGTGTGTGTGTGTGTGTGTGTCTGTGAGTGTGTGTGTGTTCGTGGAGTGTATGTGTGTGTTCGTGGGAGTGTGTGTGTGTCTGTGAGTGTGTGTGTGTGTTCCGTGGAGTGTGTGTGTGTTCGTGAATGTGTGTGTGTTTGTGAGTGTATGTGTGTTTCTGTGTGTCTGTGGAGTAAAAGTGTGTGAAATGTATGTGAATGTGTGTTCAGAGCGTATGTGTGTGCGGTGTGTGTGTGTGTGTCTGTGTGTGTGTTCAGGAGTGTGTGTGTAGCCCGTGAATGTGTGTGTGTCTGTGAATGTGTGTCTGTGAGTGTATGTGTGTGTGTGAATGTGTGTGTCTGTGTGTGTGTGTCTGTGAGTGTATGTGTGTGAGTGTGTGTGTGTCTGTGAGTGTATGTGTGTGTGTGTCTGAATGTGTCTGTGAGTGTGTGTGTGTACGCCGCATATATATATATATATATATATGCACACTCACGTGTATATTATTTTTTTGGGGGGTGGGAATCCCGATCTCCCCTGTCGGCTCACTCAGAGCTATCTGAGTGCCGGCTCTGCTCTAAGCCTCCATGGGCTGGCGGGGAGACCAAAGATCTACCTCACCGGCCCACAGCAGCATGGAGGGAGGCAGGAGAGGACCCAGGGAGCTCTAGACAGAAGCTCCGCCAGGTTCCTCTCGCGATATCTGAGCGTTGCTGCGGCAACACTCAGATCTCGCGAGAGTTAACTCTAGCCCCACAGGCTAGAGTTCACTCTCCACTGGACCACCAGGGATGGCACATGGCAGCAAGGATTTACTAA